AAAAAAAAAATTTCGGACTTTATCTTATCTTCATGGTGAAAATGGCTACCGAATGCTATTTTTGTGTGAAAATTTTCGATTTTGTATTTTCCATTTTTAACTTTATTATGCTATAACTTTTTGAAAAATGTATGAATCATTACAATTTTTTTATGAGAAGTAGTATTTATATAGATCTTTCATTCGACATACTGTTTTTTTAAATCGGACCATTTCCCTAAATACAGGGGGGATTCAAAACATAAAAATGCATATAGAAAGTAGAACTTTTTCAACGTAACTTTTGAAAGTGTTCCGGAAGGTCTGACACTTTTATATATATCTTAAATTAAAGCTAATGTAATATACTTTATAATGGTAAAAAAAAATTTCGGACTTTATTTTATCTTCATGGTGAAAACAGACATTAAACTTAATAAAAAAAATACGATTTTTGTAAAAAAATTCTTTTTTATAATTTTAACTTTATAATGCTATAACTTCTCGAAATATTTATGGATCAATATAATTCTTTTTTTTGTAGATGCATGATGTCTATACCTATCATTTGGTATATTTTTTTTATAAATCTGACTTTTTACCTGCCTACAGGGGGGGATTCAAAATGACAACTTTTTCACAAAAAATTGACTTTTTCAACTTAAATTTTGAAAGTGTTCCGGAAAGTCTGACACTTTTATATATATCTTAAATTAAAGCTAATGTAATATACTTTATCATGGAAAAAAAAAATTTCGGACTTTATTTTATCTTCAAGGTGAAAATGGCTACCAAATGCTATTATTGTGTGAAAATTCTCAATTTTATTTTTTACATTTTTAACATTATAATGCTATAACTTATTGAAAAGTGTATTGATCAATATAATTTTTTTATGGGAAATACTATTTTCTAATAATCTCTTTTTTATTCGACATACTTTGTCTTAATCAGGATATTAATAAGGAACTAGCAGTTTATGAAGCTTTTGGAATAATCCACCAATTTTTTAAAATTAAACACTATCTAAAGATTTGCATCGAAGCGTTTTTTTTTGATAGTGATTTTAATCACTGTCAGATATCATTATACTTGATCCAACTATGCCACGTCACCACTGTGCCGCGACCTCCCTGTGCTGGGTTTTTTTAAATTTATTACCTTGCTTCATCAAACATTATACTAAAAGTCTGTGTACTAATGTCTTCTATAATTGAATCTCTTATTCTGTTTGCACATATTTCAATTATTTAATTTTGAATATGATGACTCGTGTGATTTGTTTCTTTGTTGAATATTTCAAAAAACTTAGGCATATGCTTGGAAAATAAAACACAAGTTTCGTTGAAATTTCCCAAGAAAAATTATTTATTAAGAAATTAATAATTATATCTTCTTAGTTTTAATTACTTATTATTAGGTGATTAGATTACTTAAATTAGTTCCCAACGTTGATTTAATGATGAATTATTTTTATTGTGTCGGGCCATTTGCATACTCAAAAAATTATTATGTTAATTATACTTTTCATAAATTTCCTATTAGCGACAACTTCTAGTTTAGATTAAGTTATTAGCTGGGTATGAACAGTGTCAGATTTTTAACAGTTATTTACAAGTTAAATGACTTTTTGTACTAGAATGAGTATCATGCTTTGTTAGTTTTCCATTTTTAAGACCTCTAGATCCACATAACTAAAAAATATAAAAAACAAATAAGTTAATTTTTGAACAATAATTATGTCATACACAAAAATATTCAACCTACTAAAATAAAGGATTGAAGCCATGGTTTTGTTAATGGAATTAGCTAAATATAATTCATTAGCTATTAATAATAGGCTTAATAGCAATTAAAATATATATTTAATAAACAATATAAATACTATGCTGTTAGTTATATACATGATTTACCTCTAATATGGATCTTTTTGGACCAGACTGTAAATCACCTAAATCAAATTCCGAGTTGCTTGTAGATTATGTAATATGGTTTTTAATTATTTCTTACTTCATTAGAGTCACCGCTGTTTCAGGATTTTTCATTAAATATAAAAAATAATTTTGAATTCGTTATTTTATCAACAAATTAATATAAAAGTAAAAAAAATAACAGTTCTGCTACAATACAGATTTATTTCTCCATGTAGAAAAAGTGCAAATTCACAATGATAACGAGCAGATAGTATTCCACAGCTAAAAATAGAATTTGTTGAAATAGTGTACATGATATTATTAAAGTCAATATATTGCACAGGCCAAAGAATGTTAACATTAGCATTATCTATGTTACATATACAACAGATTATATAAATGATATACTATTAATATTTTACAGCGTATAGATGCTGATATTTTGAAATGGTAAATTCGTTTGACAATGATATAACAATACAATTATATTTGACTACTTATGCTAGTAGACGAATATTCGGTATTCGCCTTATGTGCGGCAATTAGACAAATAATTGGAACCAAGCTTAACATAAAATTTTTTTAAATACAATATGTATTTTGGTAAACATATAAAATGAAGTCTAAAAAGGTATTTAAACGTGAGAGTACAATTTTTTTAAAAATACGGGCATTAATCGCTCTATTTAAAACACCCCCGCATTTAAATTGTACTATGTTTACCATGACTAAAAATATTTGAAGAAGAACAAAAGAAAATTGATGGACTAGTATTAACACTAAAGTAATTTCAGAGACAAGATGGGCGAGTCATAAACGTGCAGTAGACTCGATGTAAATAAACTTGCCAGAAATTGTTGAAACTCATTACAGTGAATTGCTGATAGAGAACTTCTCAATATAAAATTAAAAATTATTTCAGTAGCACAAGGATTACTTTTTCAAATGGTGAATTTTAAACTTAGTTTAATGGAAAAATATATTTGGAAAAGCTTATATTTTGCCAAATTATTTACTAAGTTCTAAAATTGATTTAATAACTGCACATGATATGGTTTCAACATGTTTTTTACATATTTCATCTTTCAGAAATGAGGAACATTTTAAAAAATAAAATGTAGTGCAAATGAATCGTGTGAATAGTTTGGAAGCAAAAATGACTTTGAGCAAGAACGTATTAAATTTGGATAAATTGAGCATTGAGCACATTGTATAAATACATTTACTTAACTACTGGAAAAGCGCAGAAAAATTATGTAGAGTTCTATGCTTTTACAATATTTATTTTGTACTACTTTTATTTTTGTATATTATGATAAAAATAAAACTTAATTCAGGTGTGAATTGTTTTTGTATTGGATTAGAATTTAAAATAATATCCTTTGTGGAAATGAAAGCAGTCATTGAAAACTAAAATTAAATAAATTTACTGTAACTATAAATTTAAAAACTAAAATAGGTAAGAAATATTTGTAAATCTACTAAAAATTAATTAAATATTTCTAGTAATTTTTTTAGTTGAATATCAATTTGAATGTAACAAATAAAAATAGCATTATTACTTTATACCTAACCTAAAGTTAGTTTTGAATCTTATTTAATAATTATTAGCTATAACTTATGTCATTTAGTTATATTGAGTGTTGGTATAAAAGTGTGATATAAATGTTTTTGTTACTAAAACTATTAATAATCATATTTCATTGAAATATAACACGAAAATATTATTTTAAAAAAAGAGCAAGTAAATAAGTTGACTTTGGAAAGTAAAGAACAGTTATTTAAAAATACTATGCCTTAAAGATAATTGAATCATAAGATGTTTTCGTCCGAATAATTTCTTAAATTTATCAATAACTTAAAATTTAGAATTAAGTGATTTTGTGTAAAACTGATAATGGGTCAAATTTTGTAAGGAATTTGTTGAATTTAGTGATATTTTAGAGGCTGAACATAAAGTTATGGAATTTGTATCAATTTTTGATAATCTGAAAAATTTAGATTAGAAATATGATATTGATGAGATTAAAAGTATTTCTTTACCTATACATAGAATATATGCAAGTTATTTTTTAAATTTAATTGCAACCTAAAATATTGAACACATTTGTTAATAACCTAAATTATTCAAATTTTATAATCTTATATGAATCAACTCATTTTAATTCACAAAATACTTTAGTTCAGCCATTTTTGAACTTATCACAAAAGATATAAAATTAAAAATTGAGTATTAAAAAAATGACCGAACAACTTTTATTAATTAGATGACTCATATTTCAATTTTCTTCAAAATTAACCTATGGATTTAATGATGAGTATTATAGAAATATGATCGACCAATAAATATTAAAAATCTTTACTACCCAAACATCTTAAATTCTCAACTAACTATGTATAAATGTATTAGTACAATTTTTATTAATGATTTCATCAAAGAGTTGGGTTGGATTACCTATAAAGTTTTTTTGTGATATAAAATTAATTATAAACTACTAATTGTAGTAATATAGTATAAGGTTTTTTTTATATTGAATAAATAAACAAAACTGAAATATTATATTGAATATAAAATATTAGTTTAATTTCATCAGACTCATAATAATTATTGTCGTAAGCTCCATTAACAGGTTTTGAACTCTGTCTCATTCCAATAACGGATCGAAATATTGTCAGCGTGAGAATTATTATGTTTATAAGTTATAGTATGCACTTAAGTATTACTTATGACTTAATAAGTAATTACATAGGTTAAAAACAAACAATTAAAAATAAAAATCGAATATTAAAAATTAATTTTTAAAATCATCTAAATTTGTAATTTAGATTTCAAAAATGGTAATTGTAAATAAAAAACTTGTAAAACTCTGAATTCATTTAAAGATTAATATCAATAGTATTTAAGAGTATGGTAATTAAAATTTTTGTAATTAAACTGTTTAATACCCATTTTATTAAACCAATTGTTTATTATTGTGATATGAAACGGCGTGTCAGCTATGCAATTTAGCTACATGAATGTCTTAATTTCAATAATTTGACAATTATTTCATATAAACTGTATAAATTTTTTGGACTCGATTCATAAATACTAGAAGAGTTTTAAATAAAACTGGCAANTATTTCTTATAAACTGTATAAATTTTTTGGACTCGATTCATAAATACTAGAAGAGTTTTAAATAAAACTAGCACAATGATATTTTAAATATACTAGATCATAATTAATACTAAACCATTTCAGTCAGAATTAATGGAATTTTGTAATCCTAAAATAATTTTATCAAATCTTGACATTTTTCCTTCTTTAGTTAAGGAAGACTTGCACCTATTATTAACATTTCTATAAATTCAGTTCAATACAAAATTTTAATGAAAAGTACAATTGGCTGTCAGAGTAGGACAACAAAAACTATTGTTCTTTTTTAACTTTGATCCTGACTTGTAAATAATTTCAATATAGTTAAAACGCTAGTATAGTATGAAAAATTGATTTTTTTTTCTAATGGTTAAATCAAATGAAATCATTTTTCTTAAAATACAATGAAATATATCAGTTCTAATATGACAAAATTTCATACTTAAGTAGCAAAGTAAAAAAATCAAAATGCAGCTAATGATGGAAATAATTAAATTTTAATAAAATTTAAAACTAATACCCAACCAGAGTCTTTTTTTTTTGTAGGAATTGTTTACTATTCCTAAATTTATTATGAGTTAATTAAAAAATTAATAGTTTTAACTTCGATGTGAAGTATTATATTTACTAAAATGTGTTTAATTTAAATTTTTTGTCTGTTACCATTCAATCTCAGCTCTCGCTGGACCGATTTTGATGAACAATATGAAATATGATTAACAATTATTTTTAATTTTTAAGTGGCTTATAATAAAAGAATTCAACGAATTAACTCTCCATGACAATCATGACTTTATCATATATAAACGTTGTCTATGTTGACATTGGGATCACTTCGTGTTTGCTCGTCAAAATAAACTATCATATCGTGTAAGTATTCACAGTTATTTAACTAATTATTAATATGGCTAGCGAAAACAATACGGATAGTCATATTTATGAAACAAATATGAATGTTGTGAAACGCAGAATTGAAGAATTCTGGAATCGTCGTTTCATGAGTTCCAATTTAGTCGTTGATAGTCCAGAAGATCCCCAAACATCAAAACAGTCTAAAGGTGAAATTAATAACTGTAGACACTATTAAGATTAATTAAACTAATTATCAAAAAACGTGAAAACGATTAGCTATAAAATATAACAAGAAATTAAAAAAGATTATTCTCTTTTTGATAAATAATAATTATTTTTTATTGTAGTTAAAAAATTTTTAATATTATTCACTATTTCAGTAAATTATATACATTAGAGCAGATATAATATTAACGTCAATGTATTTGTTCACCGTAAACATTTTCATAATTAATTATTTAATTAATAACTTTTAAAATAATATTCTCTTAACAGCAAATTCTAGTGGAAATATTAATACTGAAACAAATACAGCTAATCCAAAAAAACGAACCTATCGTAAACAACTTGAAAGTGATGAAATTATAGCAGAAAAAGTGGTAATTACAATTGTATAGATATATCGACCCTTACAATTTAGTAGAAATAATTTAATATTTGTTATTATTTAGAGCAGCTGTATAAATGTATTATTTTTAGAGATATTAGTAAAAGATGTTAAATAATTTCAATTTTAATATCTTAATCATTTTGATTTCCAATAAGATTTTTAAAGAAAAGAGACTTTTTATGGAAGATAATAATAACATATTAATTATATTCCAATTATTCATTAAAATTTGACATTGGTTACGCCTAGAAATTGATACAGCGGGGAGATATTGGAACACTTATTAGGAATCAAAAATCTGGAAAATATGGAGAGAAACTATCAGTTCCAGCCAAAAAAAGTTATATACCAATTGTAAATGACAAAGCACCAAAAATACCAGCATATTTAATAGGAAAAGTAAATTATTCTGCATTGTTTTATATTCAAAAAGTATATAAGTAGCCTAAACATATCTTTTGACTTAACGTAGATTTTTTAAATAAATTAACTAAAATTTATCCTATAATTTAATATGTTCTTATGATTCATTAAGAGTTTTCATAAGAATCACTTGCATCGCAACAAATGCGATGAAAAAAAGCAACCCATAGAAGTATCTTCCAATGATAATGGTGGCCCTAATATAGAATGTAACTTAATTGAAGAACATAATGAAGTCATTAAAAGTACATAAAAAAATTTAAACTACATTTCGATTATTGAAACAATTATTTTATACTTTAAACTCTTAATACTTAAAGAATTAGAAGCTAATAATGAACCTTCAAATGACGTTACAATACCTGAAGTGTCTACTGATAAAGTAAAAGAAACACTAGAAGAAAAAATAATTCATTTAGAACCTGCAAAATATGAAGTAAAAGAGCAACTCCTAGAGATATCCTCTTCTGAAAGTTCAAATTTAAAAAGAAAGTCATCCGATAAAGATGAGAAAATCATAAAAAGTACACAATAATTTTTATTATAAATATTAACTAGCAAATTATGTTTATTGAAATTATTTTCTTATATTTTAAAACATAAATACTTTTAGAGACAAAAATTAGTTCTGAACTTTTACATGCGACAACGTCAAATGACGTTCCATTACCAAAAGTGTCTACTGTTAAAGTAAAAGAAACTACAAAAGAAAAAATAACTCATTTAGAACCCACAAAATGTGGAGCAAAAGAGCAACTACGAGAGTTATCCTCTTCTGAATGCCCAAATTTAAAAAGAAAATCATCCGAAAAAGATGAGAAAATCATAAAAAGTACACAATAATTCTATTTTAAAAATTTGACCTTTCATTAGTTTATTGTAACAATTAAGCACTATTTTTAAACATTAATTTTTAGAGTCTAAAGTGAGTTCTGAAGTTTCGCCTTCAAATATGAATGACGTGTTGCCTGCCGTGTCCGTTGTCGAAATTGATGAAATACCAGGGAAAGAAATAGGTAAAGTAAAATTATTTTTTTTTATTGATTTCATTAATATTTATTTCACATAGAAACATCCATAACACATATTTTGTTTAACTATGTTTAATCTTATATTTCAAAACCTAGGAATAATTTTACTCATATTAAACCATTAAGCTAGCTTAAGTAATTTATGAGAAGTTTTTAAATACGTTTACTCTTGTAGAAGTGACGAATGATCCGAACACAAATGAACTAGATCACTATAACGCGCCTTCGTTTAAGTCCCCTAAGTCTTGGTACACTTCTGACACAATTAATGATTATCTCAAATTGATAGTGAAAAGGTCCAATGGCGAAGTTCATGCTGTCGTTACCGACTTTATACCAGCATATCTTCGAGGAGGTTATCCAGCTGTCAGAAGATGGATAAAAAAAGATATCCATACATTAAAGTTTCTTTTTGTGCCAATGAATGTACTTGGCGGACATTGGATATTGACTGTAGTAAACATACCCGAAAGAACTGTAACGTCATATGACAGTCTTAAGTCATATGATGGTCCGTATCCTATGGTATTGAAAGAGTATCTAACTGACTGGGAGATGGATAAAAAAGGAGCAGCTTCTTTGTGGACATTAAAAATCGGTGAGACGACTCGTCAAACTAATGGGTATGACTGTGGTCCATTTACGGTTGAGTTAGCCGAAAAAATGTCCCGTGGAGACACAACTCCTATAAATGCGAGTCTTATGTCTTCTGTAAGACTAAGACACAGAGAAGAAATTATAGCCGGCCAACTATTTTTATAATTTTTTATGAAATAAGTTGCTTAATTGGCTTGTATAAAATTTCCTAAATTTTACATTAAATTGATATATTTGTTAATACGCTTTTATACTTCTTAATATTTTCTTTCGTTTTAGAAACTTATTGTAATTATTATTTTATGTTATTTTTCTTTGTTACATTGCTTTATTAAATGAATCTATATTAAATATATAAATGTA